TATTTGTGCTTCAACAAAATAAACTACAATAAACATCTCTATTCCAAAGCGATATAGATTTTCTCAAATGAGTGAATTTGCTTGGTTGGCTTTATGTAATTAAAAACGTTTACTTTGACAAAATAAAACTTATCCCAATTAAAACGTACCTGGAAATAATAATGTAATTTATTAATTAAAAAGTAAATTTAATATTAATAATTATGTAAATATTGTTGCTTATATTAAAATATTAGATTTTAGTAAAACCACACAAAATTGTTGTACCATTTACTGCTATGAAATATCTAAATTTTTCCAAGTGTAAATAATTTGTCTATGCGTGCGATTCTTTCACTTTCTCTCTCTCTCTCTCTCTCTCTCTCTCTCTCTCTCTCTATCTATCTTACACAGTCACGCACACGCGTATACACACGTACGCACACTTTTTATGTTAATCTGTATCTTTCGACGCTATTATTAAAGCTTTGGCTTATAACCTGATGATGCACGTGTCTACGCGAGGCTTGTGGACATTTACCGCTCAGCCGGCTCGCAAAATTTCACTTTAAATTTCCTCATCACGCAATATCCGAAGCGTCAATTTACCACTATTTTTTAATAATCCACTGTCATTGACGCTTCACAGGTCAATCCTCGTCTTTTAGTGGAATATATTTATAACCTATTTCATTATATTGTCGACATTCTGTGCATTTTATCTGTATTTGTGCGCGCGTAAACTTTAGTCTATATGTATAGATACGTAAGAGTTGCTAGATAAATATTAAGGGAAAATTATGTATCATGGATCCTCGTAATTCTTTTATCATGTATTTCGATACTTCATAAAAGCATTAATTTGAATGTATAAAAATATTTCATATTACAATTCGTTCAAAGATTTTGTTTCGAAGAATAATGAATACTTTTGCCATATCATACATAATTTAAAGCTTTTTAATTTTGCCGTACAATTAAATTTGATACAAATGCGCGGAAGCCTTGAAAAATTAAAAAAAAGAAAAAATCATGACTTGTTAAATTCATGAGTAATTTGTATTCCTTTTGTCAAACACAAACTTCTATTATATTTAAAGAGCTTTAAAATTTTTCTCATTACATGGTAATGTTAATGAACTTTCAATCGGCGCATAATTTTTCTTGTCTAAACGAGAGCGCTTTAAACTTCATTTGAGTAAAGAAAAGGAAGAAGATGATGATGAAGAAGAAGAAGAGGAAGAAGAAGAAGAAGAAGAAGAAGAGAATGAGAAAAAGCACCAAGTTGTTTTAACTTCCGTTCCTTCAATCCGATGCCCATTTTCATTACACAGCCCGGAGGCGCCTCAAATGCAAGGCTTTTTTCATCCTTCGTCTCCTTCCTTTCTGATTCAAATTAGAATTGAAATTCAAATTTGAATCCGTATGACGCGACGCCTCCTCTTTGCAAATATCATGGATGGAGAACTGAGCGCATGAGCGCCAACGATAAAGACAGAGCTACAGACAGATGCACTAATATACACAGATTTATCGGCCGGGAAAGAAGGAGACAGAGAGAGAGAGAGAGAGAGAGAGAGAGAGAGAGAGAGAGTAAGTGACAGTACGCCGTTGCGCGTTACACTGATGCAAATGTGTAGTCAGGAGCTTCCCTTGCCTGACGTGTTTTTGATTTATGCGAGATCGAACGAGGGATGGCGGACCAAATTCTCCGCTCCATCGTCCCCCTCTCGTAACCCCTGCCCCATTCAGCACCGGCTAAACCAACCCGATGCGTGAGCCCACGTAGCGCGAAAGTTCTGCATTATTACGCAGTTTTGCCATTAGACTGATGCTCCTGTAATAATGGAAAGTGACATGTGCTTTTGTACACTCTCTCCTACGTCCGCTCACTCTTTGCTTATTTATATTTTGCCAGTTGAAAAAGTGGTTGTTTCGGCTTATTATGCGCCGAGGTGCTACTTTACAATGCCAAAGTTTTTGCCTGCATTTATGAGAGGCAAAAGTTTCTCCTACTTTTTTCACGGGCTTGAGAATACAACGACTAGTTTTCTCTTTTTCCTCTTTTCCTTATCGATTCTACATGCATTTTTTATAAATCCTTGAAAATATGATATATATCTTCCACAGGCTATGAATTATTATACAGACACATTTTCATTATGTGCGTGTATCGTGGTCTTTTTCAAAAATTCCAATTAGAAATGAGATATTCTATTAAATGCATGAAAGTCTTTCATGTTAACAATCGATGTTTCTTCTTTATATCCTAAGTACATTTATCCTTAGTCAAAATTAATTATACGCATACACAAAATACAGAATTACGTTCATTATCAAATCCAAATATTCTTTACGTTATGCTTTGCGCCAAAGAAATTCTTCGATTATAAATTTAAAATCATAATCAAACATATAATATATATGAATTTTGTATGTAGATTTTTAATAATCGACGGTCAAAAGAAGAATAAAAACTTACATTTCAAAATTTCCTTACGACGGATTTGGAATTTGTAAAAACTGTCAGTTCATGTATATATGAATTAATTATGTTGAATTAATCAGACAATGACTCGTTGTTAGTACACGTGACAAATTTCTCTCTCTCTCTCTCTCTCTCTCTCTCTCTCTCTCTCTCTCTCTCTCTCTCTCTATCTATCTATCTATCTATCTATCTATCTATCTCTCTGGACCTACCATATACTTCTATGTTATAATAAACGACGATACTTGGAAAACTCATCTCTCGCGCCAAACTTTTAAGCGTGAATGAGGAAGGAGGCACTCGAGTCTAACGCAATTATTTTTTAAGAACAATGGACCCCGAGGGGGAAACTTGATTCTTTGTTGGCCTTTTGGTCATACATCTGAATCAATCTGTCGTGGATTTCACGGGAGACGTAAGTGCTTGAAATAGGCATACTTTTTCCACTTATAGTAGCTGATTGTTGGTCTTTTGCATCGGACTACTTTATCCTCAATTAATGGCCACTTTGCAGTTTGAAAAATTAATGAAATAGTGACACATTAAATATAATTGAAATTTCTACTAATTGAAATTATCATTATTTAATTATAAATAGGATGTTTAACGCTGCGTGACTACTTGTTAGTATGAGGGCAAATTTGTCAGATGAAATTTGTACATAATTATTCCATAAATTTCATTAAATATTTATTATATAAATAAATATATAAACAATTAAGTATTTGATGTATTAATTATATTTGTTAAATTGTTTTAATGAAAAAATTATAAACAATAATTTCTATGAATAGTCGACGAAATTTTTATTTTCCATAATACGGCAGTAATGCTTATTTATTATCTTCTAGATCTTTTTATATTACATTCTTGTTTTTTTCTTTTTTTTTTTTTTGTATAATCTTTTCAGACTCCTAGTATGAAACTAACATTTTATATAATATTCAATTGTTTCAAGCAATTTTGTTATTGCTAGATATTAATTATATAGCATCATTGCATTATATAGATTAGATCAAATAATGATTGAGAGTAATTTTTTGTAATTACTCATAAATTTCCATAAATTCATCAACATATATACTATATATATATATATATATATATATATATATATATATAGTATGCATATTATGTTTCGCACTCGTTAGTAAAGAGCTCGGTTGTCTCAGTTGAGCTCGGATTATGAATATCAGAAAATAATAATCTTACAGTGTGTCTAAATAGATTGCTTACCCGCAGAGAAAATGCGATTATCAAATGCAATAAGCAATCGAACATTAAGTATTTGATATAATAATATTAAAATTCTTTCGTGAATATTATAAATATAGAGCCGCCGCCACCGCGATCATTGCCACCCCCACTCCTTCTCCTTCAAAAGCTTGTCAAGAGAGACGATGTAAGCGCCATAGGACATGACAGCACACAACGACGCCGAGTAACGCAATATCAGTCGGAGGAAGCTTCCCTTCAACCTCCCATGCCATACTTCGTATTATACGATATAACTTCCCCCGACCCCGTAACCCAAGTGGTACGGCCTAAAGGAGAAAGCGAACGAGCGAATGGGCGAAAGAGCGAGAGAGTTAGTGAGATACAGAGAGTGAGAGAGAGAGTGAGAGAGAGTGAGATAGAGATAGATAGATAGAGAGAGAGAGAGAGAGAGAGAGAGAGAGAGAGTGAGAGGGAGGTGAGGGCGAGGTGTAACTTGGCTAACTTGCGAGGTGCAGTTGTGTCAACTGCTGCACCGTGTTCTCTAGCTATATACACGAGGTTGAGACTGCTCGGCTCTGCTTCGACTAGCCTTTGCTTTGGGGAAGCTCTGCCCGAGTAATTTCCGCATTGTCGTTAAGTTAATAGCTCCTCACCCTGGGGTGCTATCTAGTCTTTGTACATTGTGTACGTAGACGCGCGAGCGTGTACGCGTACGTGCAGCCAACCACGTGCATATATAAGGTGGCCGTAGGAATATGATCGATACATGAAATGAATGTGAAATGAAGAGGAGCCGAGTGCTTAATCATCGCTCAACTGTTGTCGATGGGAACGGGAATTTTGGCGATTTGGTCAAGTTGCGGCTGGATTTTCTCCGGCCAATAATTTCTCTCT